ATTCTGATGTCAGGAGTCATCATCAAAGTGTCAATCAATGAACAGATGATGGATCAATAACTGCAGCTGGATTGTGTTTGTTCTCTCCATCAGATTCCTGTCAACTCACAATCGACACAAACACAGTACACAAAAACCTCCAACTGTCTGACAACAACAGGAAGGTGACACGTGTGAAGGAGGTTCAGCCATATCCTGAACATCCAGACAGATTTGGTTATCGTCTACAGCTGCTGTGTAGTGATGGTCTGACTGGTCGCTGTTACTGGGAGGTCGAGTGGAGAGGAGAGGTTCGTATAACAGTGAGTTACAGAAGAATCAGAAGGAAAGGAGTCAATAATAACTGTGTGTTTGGAAAGAATGACCACTCCTGGAGTTTATTCTGCTCTGATGATGGTCCTTATTGTGTCTGTCACAATAACATAAAAACATCCATCTCCTCCTCCACATCCTCCTCCTCCTCCTCCGTCTCTAACAGAGCAGCAGTGTATGTGGACTGTCCTGCTGGCACTCTGTCCTTCTACAGAGTCTCCTCTGACACTCTGATCCACCTCCACACCTTCAACACCACATTCACTGAACCTCTTTATCCTGGATTCAGAGTTTATTCTGGTTCCACCGTGAGTCTGTGCTGAGTTTAATCATTTAGTCTAAAGAGTGTCCTCCTGTTAGAGAAACAGGTTGAACAGATTAGGATTCAGATTCAACTTTATTGTCATTACACATGTATAAATACAGGGTAACGAAATAAAGTTTGCATCTAATCAGAAGTGCAAGAGCAGTAAGTGCTCTTGCACTGATTAGAAGTGCAATAAGAGTAGATTATATACAGGTAAGTGTAGAAAAGGTCGGAATAGTTCTGAACAGATTATGTACAAATAAGTTAAGTCTACAGATGTTTATATTGCTATACAGAGAGCAAGTATACATATGTGCTACATATATACAGCTGTACCGGTGTGTGGTAAACAGATCTACAGAGTGCTATGAATATAGTACTCTGAACGGACTATAACAGTGAACCATGTATGCACTGTAACAGAGACTACACTATCATGATCATGGTCATTGGGAGGGATAGGGGGGTGTGGGTGGAAAGGTTCAGCGGGGACTGACTTCAGTAGGGTGACAGCTGTGGGGAAGAAGCTCCTCCTAAACCTGCTGGTTTTAGCCTGAAAGGTCCTGTAGCACCTTTTGGAGGGGAGGAACTGGAAGAGTTTATTGGCAGGATGAGAGGAGTCTCTGAGAATGATGCGTGCTCGGCGTAGACATCTCTTCTTGTGGACATCCTCAATTGCAGGAAGTGGAGTCCCTGTGATGCGTTGGGCAGTTTTCACCACCCGCTGCAGTGCCTTGCGGTCAGCAACAGAGCAGTTCTCATACCAGACTGCGACACATGCTGTCTATCCCATAGCGACGCAATCACGGGTAAGAGGCAAGTGGAACCAAGCTGACTTCTGCTAAATGGGTCAAACTGGGCAGAAAGT